CCGGTGCTGCAATGTGGTGCTCGAGACAGACTACCAATGGGAAATCCCTATACCTTCCCGGCAAGCACCTTGGTCTGCAGTGACAAAGGTTGTACCACTCTGGTGGCATAAGAACCACTAACGACCGTGCTCATGCCGTCGTTCCTCACCTGGTCCAACCTACCTTCATTGAACTCACCCACCGTTTTTCCTAGCGATAGTAATAGGAGACCCGTTGAATAGCGTAGAGAAGGACATTGTTGCCAAGTGATGTGCAGCAGTTTCGCAACTGCATGCTTTGATGACGGTCGATACTAGGAAGACATCTCCTCTCGCTACCCTCCTGCTTCAGTTTGAGCACTTTCGAGTGACAAAAGGGTCTCTCTACAAGTGTGTCCATCTTGCACATGGCAATGATCACGATATGAATTCGAACATCGAGCGCATCTTCAAGCGAAGGAGACATTCGGGGACTGCAAATACTGGTATTACCGAAATGGAGATGTAGGAATTCGCCTTACGTGTAGCTCTCACAGAGGTAATTGTCGGCGCTCTTTTTCAGTTAGGCGATGGGGGAAATACACAGCTACAAAACTCTAGCACTTTTGGGGGAGCACTGACGGTTACTTAGATCCTGATACTAATCCTAAAATCGCCCTTCTCAAGAAGGCAGAAGTTGTCTTCTCCTACTTGCCTCGCTGAAGGAAAATACTCACTCGGGGCACACGAACCACCGTTTGACAGCACTCCGACAATAGTATTCTTTTGACCATATTTTTGAAACAGTGGACCTCCGCTGTCGCCCTAAACATCATGAGCATTCATGCAACATTTTGATGAATGCACTGTAGATTTCGCTTTAGACGCTGGAGCGTGTCAGGGTTGGTATGGCGTGGCGCGATCCTGTTCTCCATCAACGCTTGAAGCGGGCAAGCAGCAACAAATGGTGGAGAACAGGCTGGCACCGCGCCAATCTCAGCATCGTCTCATGCCTCAGCGTCTGCAGCGAAAATGAATACTCTAACTACTCAATTAGAAGGACCTACAGGGCATAATCCAACAGTGCGAGGAGCGGTAGTAGCAATCTGCTTCTTCTTTAAAATTAGCAGTACTGGGGTGACGCTCAGTACGTGGAAGCCGTGGGAAAATGGTAATGACGACTTGTTACGGGCTTGAAATATGATGGTGATTAGCAGTTAAGGAAATAAAAATTTCGTTAACATACGGCCTCTAAGTCCATTCCAGCTTGCTGAAGCGTAGTGGCGAGCTCGGGAATTTGTTTGGTAGCAAATCGGCGTTGCTAGCACTTCGGATACGGGAGTTTCCAATTCCATTATTGCTAGATCGTTGACATAAGAGCACTCATCAAAGTTGTCCGGTACATAAATCTGAATATTTTATGTGGCAGACAACAATGAAGTTCGCGACTGGAAGAAGTAGTTACCAGGGCCAGATTCCAGCTATGCGAGTCTGCTGTTGCATTTTTGCTACAGACGCAGGTTCGTGTCAGTTGCTGGGTTTGACCTAGCGCGAGCCTTTCTTCAACAATTGTGTGGTCGCCAGCGGGAGTAATTTAAAGGGAGCTGGCACGATAATTCGGTACTCGGCTCAAAATGCTAGTAGGGCATATAATGGGAAAATGGTGAAAGAACGGAGTGAAACGGTCAAAATCCTGCTGAGAAAAGCCGTCGTTCTTCATGAATAAAAATCAGTTCAGGACGAGCGGAAGTCATTTGAATCATAAGGGGCAGGCAGTCATCATGAGATCACTGGAGCGCTACAAGGCTGTCGGTGAGGCAGGATCCGAGAGACCACGGCTTCTCCCTATAACTCGCCATCACTGCGATACTGGTCCGAATGCTATTGATACACTCTAGTTCATTGCGGACGGTTGGGCGTGTCAGCCAGTATGAGTGTGTCACCCCGTCAAAGCCGTTCTCTGCCTTCTTGTTGAAGCGTGCATGCGACAAAAAGTGGTAGAAACGAGTAATACTAACTATACGATACAGTCATATCATTTGTTCGCTTTAACAGGTGGTGGGGAACGAGTTTGGCACCGGCCAAGCACAGCCGCACTGACACGCCCAACCGTCCGCAATGAACTACACTATAAATGCTTTCTTAGTTCTTCCCAATATAGACCTATGCAATAAAATGCGGACTGTTCAAAAATCAGGGATTTCTTGTACCAAATGTCTCGATATGCAGTGTGCTGTGGCACGTTCAGGTTCGTTTGGGGCCTACGTGCGGTAGGTGCTTATATAAAACACCTGTTCCTTTTATCCTTCCAAAGCTTTACCAATGGAAGAACTATGCGTTTCGCATTCCAAAAGCGATTGGTCAATGGCGGATTCATCTTTTAGGCTCTAGTGGGAGCTCACTGGAACAGGGTACAGCATCGTGATGTGTTAAATGGTGGTGTCAGTACGACCCCCCCCCAAACTAGTTCCAAGTACGACTTCCTCCCTCTGCTGCCGCCCTAACTACTGGAACCAACGAGAAAGAATAGATAAGTAACGATTTGCCTGCTGACCAGCCGAGGGAGGCTACTGACTCCGCCCGCCGGGAGATTATTGGATAGCAACTAACCACAAAATCATCAAATAAAAACAATAAGTAAAAACACTACCCCTAGGTGCTTTCACAAGACATATCCGGGTACCTCAATTTTGTTAAGTGGAATTATAAACTGTTACATGAAGAGCCCACACAATTTTGATATAAATACTTGAATAAAACAAAATAACAGTAATTACGTACTAATATTGTATGAATTAGTCCTAGATTACCTTTGTCAGTGTGAGAAGCCGGGACATCGGCCTTAATCTGCGCATAAATCTCTCAGGGAAAGTAGCAGCCCCTAACGTGGCCCGCTCTGCGACCCGAGCGCAAAAGGCGCTGGAGCGTTGACTGTTGAAGAGGGGGAGTGCGTTTTCCAAACATAATCTTTTTTTCAGGGAAGGATTCCTGGGAAACGGAAGACGACTTCTCAACGTTATCTATGTACTGTACCGCGTTCTACCCACTCACTATCTATGTCTTCCCCCGTTCGTGAAATATTTCGGATATTTACTTGCTTGGATACTTGTACGCTCGTTCTTCAGCCGGTTCTCTTCAGCGACGAGCACACGCTTCCCTCCATTGTTTGCGATCTTGAGCGGTTTGGATCCAGTGTTGGTCTGCAAAATCTTGGAGTTGCTTCAAGGAGTCTCTCCAACGGGTTGCAGGGCGGCCAACCTTGCGCTTCGCGTCTCTCGGATACCAGAGTGTGATGCGAGTGGTCCACCGATCGTCCGTACGTCTGACCACATGTCCGGCCCATCTCTTCTTTGCATTACTACGGCATCAAGGATGCCCGACATTGAGCGCATGTCTGTACTGCGCAGATTGCGACATCTCTGCTCACGGCGGTTGATATTTCAGGGTCCGTTCCAATGCTCGTTGGGCACGTGTCAACATCAACGTAGACGCCTTGTTCTCTGCCCACGTCTCCGATGCGTCACAAAGGCAGGCAGTACTGTAGAGCAGCTCGTATTTTCCTGACCGAAATGAGCTGCGCCACCTCTCTTATGCGTCCCATTGCCGTCCATGCGCATTTTTTGCGTCTCATAATTTCTTCGCGCAAATTGTTGTCCATGGAAATGAGTCGACCAAGGTAAACGTAACGGTCGGTATCCGGTAGAGCAGTGCCTTCGAGTGTGATGGGTGACGCATCTGCCCACTCATTGCGCATGACCTCGGTCATGCGCAATGAGTGGGCAGATGCGCAGTCATCCAGTTGTTCCTCGAGCCTGTTGAGGATTACCTTCGTGAACAACTTGTATGGCTGCGAGAGGAGGGCGATGGGGCGGTAGTTCTTCATTAAGTCGCGCTCGCCCTTCTTGAACAGAAGAACCGTGACGTCTTCCACTGGTCCGGGATCTCTTGCGCGTCCATGTACCTGTTATAGCGCCTGGTGAGCTGTTTTATGACGGTGCCGACTTCGAAAGTCTACTGAGATGCGGTCACCTCCCATTCTTCAATCTGTGGGGCCCGTCCTGCGTAGGTGTAGGTATGCGTGGAACTGGCATCGTTGATCGGTAGAGATCCGTGTAGAAATTGACGGCGATCTCTTCAATCCTCGCTCTCGATGTCTGCGGTCTGCCCATCGCGTCTCGCATAACCGTGGTGACCGAGCGAGAGTCGTTGATGTCTCGACGACATCGTTTGAGATCCTTTACTGCGATGCGGCACCCTTTGTTGATCACGGCGCGCTCCAGTGGTGTTGATGCAGGGTTACGATGGACGACAGCGCGTTGCTGCAGAAGTGCGCGAGCCTTGTCGTCAATCCTGCCATTCGAATCCGTCCTTGTTGTGATAGCCGATGCCATAGCGCAATGTCGAAGTCCTTCTATGAGCATGGTATAGTCTTGCGACAAGTCTTGCGCCTCCTGCCACGTGTAGTGAGCGGCGGCCGTCTCCATGGCGTTTGTGTCGTAATGTGGCAAGCCGTATGGGAGGAGGTCGGAAGAAGTCGCGTCTTCGGATTCTCGCTCGGAGACGAACTTTTGCTCTAACCAGCCTATGGTCGCTCCCAGTGCGGAATGCATCCACCACGCTGACGTCGAGCAGACTCCACTTCCTGTTAGTGAGAACGTGGTCGATTTCGCTGTGAGTCGTTGCATTCGGACTCTCCCACGTCCATCGCCGATCCTCTTTTTTCGTGAAGAAGCTGTTTCCGTGAAAGAGATTGCATTGCTCTAAGAGGTCCATCAGACGTTCGCCGTTTTCGTTTGTTTCTCCGGTTCCGTGTGGTCCGATGCGCGCTGTCGCTGGCATTTCCTCATGGATGACTGCGTTAAAGTCTCCGACAACATATTTGTAGTAGGACCGCCCTTTTTATCATTCCTTGTAGAACGCGTCCCTTTCGTCGTCCGTAGCTGTTGACGTCGGTGCATAGCAGTTGATAATACTAACGAAAGTGCGCTTGTCGATGCGTAGACGTAGGATGGCCAGTCGCGGGCCGATCACTTCGACTGAATCGACCATGTGCTCGAGCCGATGGTGGACGAGGAATCCAACACCACCGACATTTCTTCCGCTCAGTTTGGCTCCGAGAACAATTAGGTGGCCATCGTTGGTCTTCCTGGTAGCTGTTTCTTTTGCTTTTGTTTCCTGGAGAGCGATGACATCGAAACGAAGTCTTTTACTAGCCTCCATTAATATGGTCGGCTATCGAGGCAATGGTGCGACAGTTGTAGGTGCAGACTCGTAGACAGTCCCCATGCCTCGAAAGCTTTTCGTCCTGTGCACTCCAAATCCTGCGGCGGTTTTTGTCTGCAGGTCCCTTCAGGTCGCCGTTTGCTCCAGTGCACGTAGAGCTCGTGCTTCCTTCTGCGCCGCTCCGGACCCTCTGTGTGCGTGTTGTAGCTTGTTTGTTTACCAATCCTCGGGTAGCTAACCCTTTGAGGTGGTATCTACCCCCCCCCCAGTGTTAGGATATTCCCGTTTCGCCCCTCCGCCACTTCCAAGCCAGTAGTAGGATTTGGAGGGGAAATATTTCAGATAGGTTGGGATAAATCGCGAGCGGGTTTTTACGCTTCATACGAAATCAACTTCTTTCAAGCGCAGTTTTTTTGCAAAAGCAAAAGCACCACCAGAACGCCCAGACTTTTCTCTCTCCAACGAGCTCTACAGTTTCTGAGGATTCGCTAGTTTACAAGATATTTTAAAAGGTTTCGCGCGAGGTTCTTAGCCACCCAAAAGCTTGACGTCCGGTAACTCGTTCGCGAACTTCAGCATGCCCTCAAAACAAATATCTCCTTTGAACTGAGTCAAAGCATAATTTGGTTATAATCGATCGATTTTTTCCGAGTGTGCGCCGTGCGTACGCTTCTACGCAAAGGCGATATAAAGGTTCGACTTCTAAGTTTAGGTGATCCTTGTCCATGCGAGCAAAGGTTTGTTTAGGGTTTGGAAAGGTCGATACGCACAAATCTGTTTCAGATGTATTATTTAGTCATCTACATACTCACGAGTCCATGCTAAGTATTGAAATTGCTAGTCAATGATTTGATATTTCTGTAGTCTTCCTTACTTTAGGGTCCTCTGCTGCTTCCCGTCCGCTCCATCAAAGCTTAGCGATGACTTTTGTTCTGTTCGGTGCTCACCGAACCTCCCCCCTCCCCCCTTTCCCCAGCGGCCAAGTACGACCCCCTCGTCCATGGGTTACACACGTTAACGATGCTGTACCGTGTCCACTGGCTCATGCGACGCTCCATTTTCATACCTTCCGAAGGAGGACAGCTTTGATTCTCCCCATTCCCCCACAAGAAGGTGTTTAGCCGACAGCTAAACACCTTCTTCTCAAGGGGGAGGGGGGAGAGTCAAACCAATCGCGGACATTCCTACAAATCATGGGACTTATAAACCCATAGTAAACTGACTTACAGAGGCAACCCACCCTTGCTACACCGCGGGAAATATGTCGTATACACAGCCGGACGAACCTTCTTTCACGAAAACTAATCCGGAACGAACAAGAGGTGCATTCTCTATTCCAGGTCCTTATCTTAATCTTGTGTTCTCTACGTTCCCGTTACACTCCCGTAACTCGGCTTTGTTTTCCTGCGCTCCGTCTCTAGCAGAAGAATAAGTGACAGCCTAGCGGAACCAGCTGTACAAAGTATGAGTAAGCGGGTCGCTGTCACTGCAATATTTACTGTCACAGACCAACTTACCCCATTAGCAAAATGTCAAAATGTTGGGGTATTGATAAGACAAGGAGGCTGAGGTGGTATAGTGGCAAGTGGCGCGCTTACCAAGCGAGCGGTTCAAGAACCAGCTTGACTCCGCCCAGCTCAACAGAGCCTTCGGTGAATTCGTACCAGATTCGCGTGCATAGTAAAACACTCCCGGTTACACAAGAATGCTGAGTTATGGGCAAAAGTCGAACCCCAGGCGGGAGTCAGAACCCGCACCTCACGCTTTCCGGGCGAGTGCGCTATCCGTAAAAGCGGCCCTGGTGGCTTAATTTTGCAGTTATCATAACAAAACAGCTTCAAAAACTTGTAAAGCCTTCGGCCTCGCGGTTCCATTGCCGATATCTAACGATTACGGCTGACCGGCTCACCAAGTTAAACGTGTGAGTGCTGTAAGGCTACGGCATAAAAGCCGTTAAGCTGAGAGGGTAAAAGCGGCCCTGGTGGCGTAACGGATAGCGCACTCGCCCGGAAAGCGTGAGGTTCGACTCTCGCCTGGGGTTCGGCTTTTGCCCATACTCAGCATTCTTGTGATAACATTCGGAACGCGAACTGCGGCGTTAAACAGCAGTTATCATAACAAAACAGCTTCAAAAACTCCCATTTACATTTGTGTGTTGCGTCCCACACAGAAATTGATCAACGGCGAAGACTCAGTCCTTTTTATTCATGATAATACAATCGTAAAGCTGTAGGGCGTGGTCAGCGACACCGTTCGCAACGTACAAGTTGCTGTGTGGTGCAATATGAGTGCCAAGGTATAAAGAAATTTGATATAGTCCATCATGGTGCCGTCTTTGTTCAAATTCATATCAATTTCGCTGCTACAAGCGAAAATGCACATTGAGAGTTTGCCGCGCATGGCTGCACCATACGCAACAACGCGACAAATTGCGATCAACGTTTCCCGCAACAATATGCCACCGGAATCGCAGCCGAGTTCACATCCCAGTGAGACATGCCAGCACGCCTATCTCCTCTTCACCATAAAGGCAGTATGCTCCATCAGCATGCTCCAGAAGCAGTGAAGAAGATCATAGCATCGAGGAGATCCGTCCGTTCAATGGTAACAATTGGAATGCGGCGCAATCGGACTGAGCATAGGGCTGACTACACGTTACAACGTGTACCTGAAAGGAAAGCCAGTTCTTACTAGAGCGCGCTCTGAGTAAATTCGAGCATTTCCTTATAGGCTACTTCTCGTATCTCACTCTGCCTATCGGAAAGCGGTGGACCATTGTTGGGCAAAAAGTCAGCTTTGCCGGCGTGGATCATGCATGAGGGCTCTGCGGAATACTGATATATTCACCTCAAAGGGATGTGATTGACACGAAAATGTCTCACCTTAGCTATTTTTTTTTGGTAATTCTTCGGGCAAGACCATGGATACTTGCAAGGACTTCCGATGGCGACCATGAAAGCGCTGACTGGGGAGCGGAGCTTATTCGTATTTCTGAATGACGTGAGTTTGCATAAAGCTGACACTATGAGTTCTATAGCACTGAAAAACTGAATACTTGTATCCTATTCGCTTGCATGCTTCCGGTGATAGTACAGTTCTCATTCCTGACTTCTCTCACACAGTGAGCTGCTGTCAGTACGTGGCGGGACGATATAAGAGCCCCACTGCATGTAAAGATCAATTGCTCAGCTCCTGCAACATCGGTAACATTAATATCCATACAACAGCTACGACCAAGCTCAGATGGCAGCCAAAAGGAAGAACTAAAAAGCTGAGCTTTAAAACGTGTAAGGCTAGCACTTCTGTTGTGGAAAGTGTATTATTTGTAATGGGCTCCGAGTGTGCTGGAGTCAGTGGGTCACCAATATTCGCGGTGATGTGTTTCTTCCCCTCTGACCAGTGAATGGCTCCAGCATCCCGTGAATGTTTGAAAAAGGTCTGATGATATCAGTACTGTTGTTTACGATTTACGATTTATTATCGGCAGACTATTTGAAGAAAACTCAGATATAAGCAGAAAACCACAAACATAACTCCGATAAGTAAAACACAGTAAGGTCATAAACTGAAAAGTCCTGCGAAGTTGAGAGGGAAAACAGCGCAGAAGGGCAGTGGGCGCCAACACTGCAAGTCCATGGCAGCAAATTTAGGACTCCGGATACCAACTTAGTAGGTCCGCCAACCTTGCTGATACCACTCCAACGGCCGCAGACTGAACTTCATAGTAGGGGGGAGGGATAGTAGAACACAACACATACACAAAAAGCAAGAACATTAGACAGCAATCAAACGGTAAAAAATACCCAAAAAGAACCACATCATTACATAGCACTCTTATGAAAAGGTAGAAATTGAACCAGCAACAACAAATCACATCCTGGCCTCGCCAAACGCGAACATTGTTCAGTTTCTGTTCTCAGAACCAACCACGAGAAATCATAATTTTTCTAAGTTTATTTCTGAACGAAACGGAAGTGCTCGAGTTAACAACCTCTGACGGTAAGTCATTCCAGAGGCTTACAATCCTCTGAGTGAAGGAATTCCGAAACTCAGCTGATCTGGTTTTCTCCCTTAGAATCCTAAAACGGTGGCCCCTGGTGCGACCAATAGTTGGAGATCTTTTGAAGAGGACATCAAAAATCTAAGTCCACTAAAGCTTGTAAACAAACTCATAATCACAAAGCCTCCTCCTCATTTCCAGGGAGTCTTCCTTTAGATACTCAAGCCTATCTTTGTACGAAATATGGAAAATGCCCTGACGGGCGAAGATCCGTTCTGTAAATTTGGAACAATACGATCAACCATAGCACGGGTGTGAGGGCTCCACAACATGGGACAATATTCCAAAGTTGGGCGCACATATGTAGCAAAGAGCTGGAACAGAATTTTGATGCTTCTCGAAGAGAAGGCGCGCAATATGAAGTTCTGGCTACAAATATGGAAATCAAAACTGCTACCCATATCTCAAACCAGTTATAGGTGGTTAAAGTTACCGATGTTGAAAACTTGTCCACTCGGCGCCAATGACGTGGGTGGTTCGCGCTTTCGCGCTGAAAGATCATGACGTTCGTGATCACAAGGGCAAGCTATTCAGTGGTGTGAACCTAACTGGAGATAGACTCTGCCCTTAACAGCCCTAGACACACTTCCTTGCGCAGGTGGTCCAGCCCATAGGCTTAGAGATTGTCCCACTTCTACTACTGCACAGTACTCACTTGGACCGCCTACCCTCTTTGCACTTAACGCAAAGCACTCAGTTGTTATTTGGTGGGGCGGTGGGCAGTAATATCAATTGCATATCCTTTTTGCTTACCGCTCATGCTCATAGGTGATTCTGCTCTCCTCTATTACATTTTCTTCGTTAGGACGTACGGCCAAACGCAATCATTGACTATAATTTAATTTGTGCAATAGTTCGTCGCACAGGTTTCCCGAATCCCGGCTAATGTCGTTTGGACTCCAGAAATTTCGGCACCGAGCTCATTTTCAAATTGCCT